GAATCTTGGCACTTGATTTTGACCAAAAAGTCAAAGTTTGACTTTTCAGTATACAATCAAATTTTGATCAGTTGACTGAAAAATTCATCTGTCAATCCTATGCATTTGAGATCTTTTGAACTTGTTGAATGGGTCAAGACAATGCCATTGAGTCCTTGAGTCCATATGTGAGCCTGATTTGCCATTGGTTAGGTCAAACAGTCAAAAATTGTCTTTGTGCAATCAAAACCCTAAAAATGACCATTTTGCCCTTTTGGTGATCTGATCAAATTTCTTGTGGAATTGTGATCCAAACTTGACCAAATGGTTCATGTGATCTCAATATGTTGATGTGGGTCAAAAATCATGAAGTTTGACTGTCAATTGGCCACAGTTGACTTTTTCCCCAATACAGTTGATTTCTAGGTCAACTGTCCAATTGACTGGGCAAAGATTGGAATCAAGGCTTGAAACTTGGTATGGATAAACTTGTAAGTCCAACATGAAGCATGAAAGTAACTTTGGGCATTTTAGGTCAACACATCCCTGTGCAAACTCAAACCCTAATTTGGGTCAACAGTGCAAGGAGGGGTCTTGAGCAGAGCAAACCCTAACTTGATCTTGAGTTCCAAGAGTCTTGTGGTGAGAAAATGTTGATGAAATGAGAGAGAAAATTTTGGGGTACAACACATAGCGTCTATTTTTCTCCCAATTCTACGATCACATGAATGGAATAACTAAACTCTCTTCCCTAGTTTAACCTTTGGACTCCTAATACCAAACTTCCCATCTTGCTCTCACTTATACTTCAATATTTACCACCTTGCCCTCATTTCTTCTAACCAATAATTATTCTATTTTCTTGATTAAAATAATTCTAAAAAATTATCCTAATTATTATATATTATTCTAAATTACTCCAAAATGCCTCAATAAACCTAAGCATCACACAAATCACCACAACATCACATGAATCATTCAAAACATCACGTAGGCTATCATCTTCATCAATACATCAGGAATCTATATCACCAATGTTGGTGTAAACTCTAGAGGCCAATACTTTTGGTACTTGTATCGAATTATTTATTAATAGTAAAAGGTATTTATTTATTATGTTTGTTTTTCCAAAATGATAAAGTCCCTATAATAGTTAGTCTGTTTAATGAAATGTTAAGTGTGACTTAATCATGAGATCTCATTAAACATAAGAACATTATTCTTAAAGTATCTGTAGTCAAGCTTTACTGTGAAGCGGGATGATATTAAAGCATTGAGATTATTATGAAGATAGACTGATGATCATATCTCATGGATCATGGATAAGGAGTTATCAAGTCTTGACATAGGTATGAATATTAGGAATAATATTTATACTGGATTAACCCACTATGAGAATACTACATAGAATATTATGCAAAGTGTAATAAGTTATTCTCATGGTGACAAGTGGTGTATACCACCCTTCGATCTGAAACCACTATGGACCTTAGATGTAGAGTTAAGTGATTTATTATTGATCAAACGTCATCCGTAACTGGACGATCATAAAGATAGTTGATAGGTACTTCACAAAGCATGTTGAGGGACATGAGTGACCTAGATAGAATTTTCTCATCCCGCGTAACAGGATAAATGTCTAAGGACCCAATATTGAACTGGACAAGAGTGATACGATCTATGCCTTGTGTTCAATATAGACATGAGGGAAAAAGGGTAAATATACACACAAACATTATCACGGAAAATGTTTTGTCAGATTACATGACATTTTCGTGGCTTGGGTAGCAGTGATGCGTTGCTAGATATTGCTCACAGTTTATTATATTAAATGTATGATTTAATATAATTGACAACATTACGAGAACCTAGAGGGCCACACACATAAGAAAAGATTGATAAGAGATAGAATAAATAAGGAACATCGTAAGATACGGTGTACTTGAGATAATTATGAAACACGTAAAGTACGGTGCACTTAAATGAAATATGGAACATCATATAATATAATAATAGTTATTATTATTATTATTATTATTATTATTTTATAATAGTTATAAAATATAATAATAATAAAATATGTTTATTACAATAATAGTTATTACAATAATAGTCATTGTAATAAAAGTTATTATAATAATAAAAAATATTATTATTATTATTATTATTATTATTATTATTATTATTATTATTATATGGATCACTTAAGTTGGAATTTTAGCTTGCAGTCCATAGAAGCGGTTCTATAAATACGACCATTGTGCATAAGCTTCCTCACTTGATGAAATCAGGCTTTGTGAGACCCCGGTCGTATTTCTCTCTCTCACTCAAAGCCTTCACTCACAGCAGCTAGCACTGAGACTAAAGGTTGTCTGTTCGTGTGGATTGAGTAGAGGTGTTGTTCTTCATCAACGCTTATGATCATAGCATAAAAGATCTAAATCTCCACAAGAAGTAATAGTTTCTATCACTGACCATGCCCATTTGTAAGGATCATTAAAGGAAAATTTTAATTTCTACTGCTATTGAGTCGCTATTTTTTTCAATGGTATCAGAGCCACTTACAAAATCATGGATCTGATAGCTGTTTTATTTTCTGTACTTTCTGTATTAATTCGATTAAAATACATAATGAATTAAATGATTAAGAAAAATAATTTTTGGCATCATTCTGTGTAACTTATGGATGATCGATGTATCATTGCTTCACCATACAGAAGTTAGATTCTGAAGCATAGTCAACATCGAATCATCTATATCGTTCACAAAATGATGGATTAAATTCATATAAGATATGGATAATTCGGATGCAAATGCAGTATATTTGATATAACTTTAATTTCATCGATTTAATTAGTGTGATGATTGTGTTTTATATGAATGGTCAATGTTCGTTCTGCTTCGGAATCCGACATTTGTATGGTGAAGCAATGACATTTAGATCATTTTAATTGAATAACCGATCATCATATTTTTTATAGTATGAATATGTTGCATTAGAGTTTATGACGATACAAGAGTTGTATTGTCGAGAGTTATACAATTTGGATTTGTAACGACACAAGAATTGTGCATCAGATTTGCAAAATTTTATAATAATAATAATAATAATAATAATAATAATAATAATAATAATAATAATAATAATAATAATAATTGTTATTGTTATTATTATAAGTTTTATTTGTTTTACAATATAATAATAATAGTTATTATTATATTTAAAATGAACATGAAAAGTTTCGACATATGTTATCATGAAAGTTGTTGTAGGAATCAGTAACGTGATGACGATGTGTCGGTAATTAAAAATAAGTAGCCACCTAGTTTTATCAAATTACTTTAATTAGTATAATAATAATTGTTATTATTATTTTGTTTAAATAATTTGATAAACTTTTATAATAAGGCAACAAATCAAAGATAACTCTACCTGATCAATTATTAAAAATTTATTTAATTTATTTAATGAACAAAATTAAAATTAATATTAATAATAATACTAAAGTGTGTTTATTATTGTTATCTTGTGGCAATCAGTTATGGCCTTAGATTCCTTTATTTTGTTTTTGGGATTTTAAAATACGATCTGTGTGTCGTGCCTTTCTCTTAACTTCTTGATGTAACTTCTTTTCTCATCTCATTTCCTCGTATGTAAAACGAGTATTCTTTTATGTAATGTAATATAATTAAGAAAAAGAAAGAAAACAAGATTGAAGGAAGTCAACCATGGAGATCTATCTTGGGGAAGTTTATATTGTTATTAGGTTAGCTTAGGTTCTCTCATTGGTCTGGGAGAAAAATTGCACTAGGGGCCATAACTGTATCTTTTTATATGTATGTTGATGCATGTGTTTGTATGTTGATGCATGCGAGAGACAATTTTCATGTTAAGCCAGTGAGATCAAACTAATATTAAATTCTCTCAAAAAGAATATTAAATTTATGCTTTCCAAGTTTTAGCACTCATCAAGACTAGTATTTGTTGCACCCAAAAAGTTGCCCTCCTTATTTTTTTTATCTGACTTAGGCTTTTGCATTCATCTGCATATATTTCCTTAGGTCATTAACATAACATTGCATTCAATAAAACGCCTGAGATTCAAAGTTCATTGGTTGTGTGAGCTAGGGGTTTCATAGTGTTTTGAGATGCACATATCCAATAAAACTGATTACTCCCGATTCTTCTGATTTTTCAAGCAAGTGAAGCATGTATTATACTTTTGGAAGTATGGTTATCAAGAACCTATTCTTCGAAGTTTATTCTCCATCAAAAATCATCAATATTAATGGATTTATGGTTTCTAATCCTTTGTATTTGGGTTGTGGTTTGTTTGTCTCAAGGATGTGCTTTTGGATACAAGACTTTATTTGTGAAGTGTGGATTAAATCATCTTCTCCTAGTTGGTTCATCATTTTTTTGGTCAAGATATGGTTTATCTGGTGATGTCCATGAGGGATCCATATTTCATTAATTCAAGGTGCACCAGTTGCTTGAGTTACGAATTATTAACTATGACATTAATGCATTGGATTCATCTATTATGGTTTTAGTTCATGATCGATCTCTTTCATCAAGGCATTGCAAACATGGAGTTAAAGCATTCTTTTTAAGGGTTTCACTATTCAAGTATGGCATGTTAATGGTTCGGATTCAATTCGGGTTTTGATCTCAAGTTCTTATTCAAGTTTTGGACCAAATTTTGGCAATGTTAAAATTTAGATCAGGTGTCCATGGATTAATGAGGTATGGAAACATTCACGCTAAATCCAAATTGATGAATTAAGATTCAAGTTCTATTAAATTCTTGGCCAAGTTGTGTTCATGTTTGCATCCATATTACACATACATATTGTCTACAAAATTGATACAAACATCAGGCTTCAACTTACAAGCACATATTACATTACATCAAGATTCAGCTACACCCATTTCAATAATTCAACGTCAATTGTCATTGCTCATGAGGAAATCCATATAAGAATCCATTCCAAGTCCAAATTTCATTACACCTGGAGCATTACAAAGAATTACATTCAAAAGCCTTCATGTTATCATTACATATGAGGAACTTTTGGCAAAAGAAAAGGATTTTACAAATTAAGTTCAAGGCTAAGTTCCTAAGTCCTATCCTAATCTTCAAACAAAGCATGATCTTCATCAATTCTTCTGGTCCAAATGCTTTCAATGGTCTCTCAATACACATGGCTTATTGTTCGAGCTGATTCACTATAAGGCAATCCCCAAAACCTGGCCTCAGTTCAAAAATTAAAAAAGGTGCAACATGTCAGTTTAAAAAATATTCATAAAATCAAAACAGTCCAACAATAAACCTGCCATAGTCAGTTCACGAAATTAACAAAAACCAGTTTGCAGAAACATAAAGAAAAATCGAAAATCCAAATCAGAAGGAGAATCATAAAAATATAAGAAGAAATCGGGAGCAGAGAAAACATAACAAAAATAATCAAAAACTAACCAACAATATAACAATAACACTTTACCGAAACTACAACACTGATACGCGCAGAAAGACAGAAGAAGGAAGAACAAGGACTTCACAGAACGCGTCACGAAGAAGAACGTAGAAGAAATGTGAATTAAGAAGAAAAATCAAGAATAAAGTCGTACCTAAATAAAAGAAGCGCTGGACATTTTCTCCGACAGGTTAACATCTCTTGTTCGTTCTATACTGCCTGAGTTGGTGTTCGAAATAAAGAGGTATTTCTTGAATTGAAATCGGAATAGTGAAATCGACGGAGCATCACCGAGGTGAGAACGGATTGAGATCGGAGATGAGATCGAAGCTATGGCGAAGGAGAAGTCTAGGCAGAGAGATTTGAGATAAGATCGGTGGAGTCGCGCGAGTGAAGCTTGAGACGAAGAAGATTGAACTCTTGCGGAACCGTTCCGTGTTGAGAGAAGATGATTTGAGATTGAAACAGAGATGGGATATGGTGGTGGCGCTGGCGTTCATCGCCGGAGAAGACGGAGTTGATCGGAGCCGCCGTCAAGTTGAAGAAGGAGAGAAAGAGTTTTGTGTTTTCTCGCGAAGATGAAAAGTCACAAAATGCTAAACCCTTATCTCAACAAATGCATCTCTTTAAGAGCTCTTTTGTATTTTTCATTATTTTATTTTTGAGATTGTTCTTTTTTTTAGATAATCATAATATTGGGATGAAGCTGAAATTGGTTTGAACTTGGTGCTTGTGTGTTAATGGATCGAGTTATATGTTCAATGGGCCCAACGTCACTTTTTTTTGTTGATTTAGTTGTTTGTGAACAAAAATTAATATTGTATCTCAAAATTTTCTCTCCCATTTTCTTCAAGATATTCTTCTAAGATTCTCAAATACTCAAGGATTCTCAAGAGCTGACTGGTCAAACTTCCTCTTAAGCAAGGATCTTCAACTAGGGTTTTGTGCATCTCAAGGAAGATAGAGTTGCAAGGGTCCCAAATTACTTTCATAGTTCATTATAAGTCCTCAATAATGCTTATGTCAAGTTTCAAGCCTTGCATCACAAGTTTGCTCAGTCAACTGTATTGGATAAAAAGTCAACTATGGTTAACATACAGTCAAACTTCAAGATTTTTGGTCAACATCAACATTTTGAAGTGATATTCATCATTTGATTAAGGGTTGATCATAATTCCTCAAGGAAATCCCTAAAATCATCAAAGATAAAAAATTGTCAAATTAGGGTTTTGACTGAGGATGACTGATCATTGACTTTTGGCCTAGTGCATGACCTAATGGTTTGAAGCATGATCCCAATATCTAAAATACAAAATCTTGACCTAATTACATGGCTCAAGATATTTCCAAAGATACGAGTGATTGATAGTTGAAGAATTGAATCAATTGATGAAAAGTCAACAATCACACAAAAGTCAAACTTTGACTTTTTTAGTCAATATTAGAATTCAAAAATCAAGAATCATCAAAACATTCAAAACATCAAACTTTGTCATCAAGAATAAAAAAGTCAACAAAAGTCAAAAGTTGAGATTTTTAAACACTTAAAAGAAATTCAAGTGTTTTGTACCTTAAAAACTCTAACTTCACAAGCAAGTTTCCTCAAGATACAAGTTGATTTAAGGAAAACTTTCAACATGAAAGTTGTAGGGATTGAAGAATTATACAAATTTGATAGTGTTTGGTGATCCTCAAAAATTTCTTAATTTAAGAGATATAAGCCCATGAAATTATGATGTTTTTTATCCAACACTTAGAAATTTTTTCAAACAAATTTTGATCAGTTTTTTATCGTAATTTCTTGGCCAATTTCCACCAAGATCCAAATTGATTCAGAAAAACTCATAACATGAAATTTATAGATCTTGATTCAAGCTTTCAAAAATGTCCAAGAACACAAATTTATCATACTTGAGCTAGAAGTTTCGAAGAGATGAAGTTGGGTATCTAAGGTTGTATTATAGGTCATTTTTGTGACAAGTTCATAACCAATTCTCATGTCATGCTTAAAGATCTCACTTTTCAGGTCTATTAACTTTCAAATCTCCCCATAATTGAGTGTTTACATAATTAATTGAGCCATGATCCAAGTGTTTAAATCTTTATCCAATCCATTTTTCCCATTAAGGGAAGAAAGCTAACACTTCTATTTTAGAAAAGCATGCTTTATGTAAAGACCACTCTCCTTGAGCCTCTCAGCTATTTCTTCTGCACGTACATAATGTCAAAGCAAGAAGCAACCATATACAACCTGCAAAGCACCCCTAAAATCAGACCATGCTCACACTGGAACTATGGAATGGCCATGTACCTTCAGTTACAATCCAACCAATCCATAACTCCATAAGTTGCAAATATGATCAGCCCTTGCCCTCAAACCTTTTCTATATAAATAAAGAGGCCATTAGCAAGCCATAGCACGAATGGACAAGCCCTCAAATACTCTCAAACTCAGAATCACTTAGAAAACTCCATTATTGCACATTTGAAGCTTCAAACATCCAACTTCAAATCCACTCGTGCATTTTCCCTTTTTATCATTCAAACATCATCTATACACCATATATAACTCATTCACACCCTTGTTTCATCACTGTAACATCATCTTCATCCTACACGACTTTCACTTTTCATACCTGCAAGTTGACTTGGTCAGAGGTATCCAAAAGTTCTCAGCACCAAGTGAGCATCCAAACAGCTTCCTTAGGGTCCAAGCAAGCTCACCAAATCATCACTTCACCTCTGGAAGTCGTGTAGAGGGCATTCAGATTTTGTATCAAGAGGTAAGTTTTCCAAACTTTGAAATCTCTGTACAAGCATCATTTGCATTTATTTTCTAAAGCAAAAATGTAGATGTCAACATCCTGAAGCTAACCATATAATTATTTTTCATTAATTTTGCTTGTGGAGTGAGAATCGAAGCCCTGACCAGTTAGGATTCATTTTTGGTACTGAGAAAAATTCTTTTTATTCTTTGAGTATAAATTAAAGTTAATGGCATGGTTGAATTCGTGGTGAAATTTAGAACAACTTTCATATTTACATTTTTTAAAATAATTGAGAAATGAAAGAGTTTGATATTCAAAGATGGTGACGTTGTTGTCTTGCGCGAGGAAGAAGAAGAATGGGCATTTCAAATTTTTGAAAACAAGCTTTATAATACATTTATTGGGGGTGGGGGGGGGGGGGTTTCATAACCAAATGAAATAACCACCCCAGTGGTAAAACGAGTGCGCTATGACCTGAGGGACCTGGGTTCGAGCTCTAGTAGTACCCTTTTATTTTTCACATATTTGTTTCTTGCAGATTCAATACAAACAAGTCAATGGTGCACATGGTGTACCTCACACCTTGACTTTCAGATTTCAAATAGGCCAGATCCAACGTTTCTGATAGTCTCCTCATGATGCACCCTCAGAAAGTCATCCCCACTGAATTTCAAATAGGCGCCTGGGCTCCTTGAGTTGGGCTTGGGATTTTTGCTACTTCTACCCCCTTTATTACTTGTTACACTCAGGCCCTTTTTTTTAAAATTATTTTGTTTTAATTAACATTTTCTTTTTTTAACCAGTTTTACTTTAATCAACAAAAATCATAAAAATGATAAAAAATAGATTTAGGTTTTTAATTAATTTATTTATTTTTTAAAAAATAAAAATTAATTTAATTTAATCACTTTGATTTTACTTTATTAATTAATTAGAATTGGTTTTTATACTTCATTTATTTTTCTAAACAAAAAACACAAAAATATCATCTAAATACTTAGAACTCTTTAGGTTTTAATTAATTAATTTAATTTTCATAAATAAAATTAATTAATTTAATTACACTTTTTTTTAAATAATTAAATTGTAAATTAATTAGAATTAGGTCTAATTTTTATTTCACATTTTTTCTAAACAAAAACAACAAAATCTTTTCTTAAATGCTAAGAAATATTTTAGGGTTTTCTTAAACATTTTCTCCTTTTCACCACCTTCGCGCACTTTACTTTCACATTAATATTTTCCAATATTGTAATTGCTCAAAGTCTATAATAGCTTTAATTAGGACTCATTTACATTTTCCCCAATTTATGGTTTGTACCCCCATTCCCGAAGCATTGTAATAGCGTAGGACATTTAATTTCCATAATTTACTGCTTTCCTTATTACTGCTTTCCTTATTACTGTTAGATAAATACTTGAAATCAAAACACTTCGCACACGCGCACCTCTAGGGTTAACCTCACTTGTTGCCTCAGATTTAAACAGTCATGTCCCTCGAACGTGGAATGCTTTAGCAAAGACCCTCGGTTAAAATATTGTAGTCCCTCGATGACCCTTCTATGTTGCCTTCGGTAAACGATCTTAGTCCTTTATGACAATTTCTAAAGCGTCTTACAAGTTTCTTTCTATGAATGTACAATGACCCACGCCTGTCCCTCACATCCAATAATAGGGCTTCCTACTAACTAATGGTAGGATAACACTATCTAAAGGAGGAGGAAAAGAATAGAGACTTTTTTGAGTAGGTAGATCGCTCATGATCACTTGCTCACAAACTAAAACAATCTTTACACCTCACACTTTCAAAACAACTACTTTCAAAATGATTTATAAACACTCTTTAGGACTGATAAAATAGTTATTATAAATCAAATTGCCTTACATTGACATTTTCAAAACATCTTTCCACAAAAATAACACTTTGTTCGAATAAATATTTTCAAAACAAACATTTAGTA